TGGCAATGCGATTTTGGGATATACTATAATATATTGAGAACCAGGAACTAGGGATAGCATTGCTGCTTTTCAGGCTGCTATAGCAACCGAACCCAAATCAAAACTGCCGCAGTGTGAAAGTGTTGCCAAGACACCAGAGCCTGGACATGTAGGGAACAGACCAAAGAATTCGCAACTCCTCTGCGACACTCAGGAATCCTCCAATTCCATAAACTCCCATCTCGGTGAGATCTGGGTTGACCTGATTGATGCTGACGATGTCCAGGAAGCACATCGAAGATTTGCGGTACGGGAAGTGCGGGGAGATGAATAACCTAGGCTGTTCTTTGCGGGTCACCAACGAGATTTGTGAATAGGCACCCCTGTAGGACTTGCAAAGGAAACTATAACAAAGACTAGACCTTATTAAGACCTAACCACTACAAGTTCAGTATCACAAACTGCCACCTGGCGACCCAAGAATTGTGACAAAGCTGCCAGAGAGACCTGGGCTTTCGTTGAGGAGCTTGATCTAGGTTACCGCAACGGCGATGTAAAAACCCTAAATCCTGAGCAGTATATACCCTAAACAAGCCCTACACCCGAAACCCTGTGAGACATACCCTATACCACATACCCGAAGCCCTAGTTTCGAAACCCTGAACCTTAAAGCCTAAACCCTGAGCCCGAGGCCCTTGTTTCGAAACCCTTAGCCCTAAACCCTAAACCCTAAACCCTTTTCAGCATGGGCTTGGATTGTGTGCCAACGAACACAAACCCTAAACCCTAAACCCTCAACCCTAAACCCTGAACCAAGCAGAACCCAGGGGCAGCCCCAAGGCCCAAAAGGGCACGTCTCCTCGAAGTCCCACTGCAACGGTGTTATCCTGGGCGTTGGGTTTAGGGCTTAGGGGTTCAGGGGGTTGTAGGGTCTTTCGTTTTTGTTTGGGGCTTGGGGTTTAGGGTCTTTTTTGGTTTAGGGTTTAGGGTTTAGGGTCCTTTCTGTTTAGGGCTCTTTTTGTTTAGGGCTTAGGGCTGAGGCCTTGGAGAGGCTTTCTACTTGAAGGGTTATAAGGTTTAGGGTTTAGGGTTTAGGATTCTATAAGGGCCTGGTAGGGTTTGTTTTACGAGAACCCAGGTTTCAGGGTTTAGGGTTTAGGGCCTCGGGTGGCAGTGTTACTGCTGAACGTCGTCAGCAAACTTCAAGTTGTCAGCAAAGGTGATTTTCTTAACGACTACCCAGTAGATACCTTTTTGGATTTTCTTAACTACTACACAGTAGATATCTTTTTAGATTTTCTTAACTACTACACAGTAGACTACTACACAGTAGATACCTTTTTACACCTGCCAGATACTTTCGGAGTTAGGGTTTCGACTCAACAAGTCCCTGAGAATACCTACGCTGCTACCAAAGCCACGTGCCAGGGTGTTCTTGCCAAGCCACCAACCAAACCAGATTACGTACCATGCACCACCCCCAGAATCAACTCTAAACACTCGTTCACCTTCGCACGCATGCTCAAGGTCTCCCAGCAAGGCAGACCACATCTGTCTGCAGGATACATTTCAGCAAGTAGCATTTTAAGGTTTAGAGTGGGCTGTGATGCTGTGCGACAGCAGTGACCCTAAACCNNAAACCCTAAACCCTAAACCAATGCGGCATGGAGAATCCAGTGCTCGGCACTTTGCAGCAAAGAACTCGACTGCAGAGGGCCATCGGTTTAGGGTTTAGGGTTTAGGGTTTAGGGTTTAGGGACCCTAAACCCTAAACCGCACAAAATCACGCATCCCACACCGCTCGAGGAGACCGAGCCACCCAAACCCAGTTCTTTTCCGATTGAGGCCTAATCTCATTCGGCGAGCTATCGCAACAAACCTCATACTGAGATAAAGTTGTAGAGTAAGCTACAGTATACTGCTATGCACACTAATAGGGTTTAGGGTTTAGGGTTTAGGGTTTAGGGTTTAGGGTTTAGGGTTTAGGGTTTAGGGTTTAGGGTTTAGGGTTTAGACTAAGGGTTAAGGGATTTACTAAGTTTCTGGAGCCCTTGCAAGGCTGGGAGCCTTTAGTGCGTTCGGGGCGGGGGCCCCTCGGCCTCTGCAACCTCTCAAACCTGTGGGGCAAAGCTGGTTATACATACCCCAAACTTAGGGTTTAGGGTTTAGGGTTTAGGGTTTAGGGTTTAGGGTTTAGGGTTTAGGGTTCAAACCCTTAGCGCAAAACCATACCAAAAACCTTTACCCTAAACCCCAAACCTTAAGAACAAAGCCATAAACCCTAACCCAGGAGCTGGAAAGGCAATGGGAGCACCGATGTGGCGCCGAGGGCGAAAGCCGCAGCAACGGCGGCAACGCCAGAAAGAGTCGCCACCTCAGGAGCTGCAATTCAAGCTGCTTCAAGGCCTTCAATACGGGTTTAAGTTTGAGGCTTTAAGCTTTGAGGGGCTTTACAGGAGACTACGGATTAAGGCTGTCTTACGGTTCTGTAAGGTCTTTGTCATCCTCCTCAGAGTTTACATGGCTTTGTGGGCTTAACATAAGGGCCTTAACGGTCAGAATACATAAACTTGTTCTGGTGGGGAGATGTACGAACACTAGAATCAAGAACCTCATCGAACGAATCCTCCCGGCTCCTAAGCTATATATGAGGCTTTGAAGGCGCTATGGAAGGGGTTCTAGTGGGAGTTGACAAGGATATCGAGGATGTACAGGGTTTGTGTAAGGGTCTCCTAAACGCCGCCCCAAGCCCTACGCTCTAAACCCGTGCCCCAAATCCCTGAACCCGGTATCAAAACTGCCCGGAGAAGAAGCATGCCTCCAGGGTTTACGCTTTCATCTAACCTTCAATGATTTCAAGTCTGTTTGGGCATGAAGCAGGCCGACTTTGGCAATCCGGGCCTTCCAGCCAGACTGCAGCAGAAGGGACGAATACTTCCGAAGTCCAGACGTCTGCCAAGTGTGAGAGATGAACACGTCGAAGGAGGACACTTGGGTAGACATTCCCCACAGCCTGGGAATCAGAGTCGGTTTAGGGTTTAGGGTTTAGGGTTTAGGGTTAATCAGAGCGAGTTTTCTCAGGGGCATGTGAGACGCATTCGTTGCTTTCAGTGAACCCTAACATCCAAACCTTGCACCCCCAACCATAAAACCAACAGCCGTTGAACCCTAAACGCTAAACAGATCCTAAACCCTCAACCCTACAGCATACAGATAGGGTCTAGGGATTAGGGTTTGGATCTAAAGAGCAGCTGTTGGATCCCCAGACTGAACCTTGTTGGAGACTGCAATCTGTAAGGTCTCGCGCAGATCTCCGCGTAATGTCTTGTTGGGATGTGAGATTTGAGGGTTTAGGGTTTAGGGGGTTTAGGCTCTCACAACTCGGAGAAGCCAGGCGAGGTTCAGGGTTTAGGGTTTAGGGCTTAGGGTTTAGGGTTCAAGAGTCGAGGGTCGGCATGATACAAGTTTCTCGTTTCCTAGGGGATCGACTCTCACACTCGCACAAAAGTTTTGGGTTTAGAGTGTAGACAACCCTAAACCCTAAACCATAAACCTATAGGGCTATTATTTCTCTTTCTGGGTTGACAACCAAACCCTAAGCCCTAAACCCTCAACCCCTAAACCCTCAACCTAAACCCTCAAGCAGTAGCGAAGTCTGGGGCTCCTTTGAAGGCCCTTTGATTTGCTCCGCGGCTGCTACTGAAGCACCCCCAACACAAAGCCCCCGAAAGAAGTACCCATAGCGTAGCGGCCTTAAAAATTAGAATAGAGTTTGGGGTTCCTTAATATACATATAGTATAGTATACCCCAAACCCCATCCTAATTATTAAGGTCCCTATAGGGTTTTGGGGGTTCCTTAATATAAATATAGTATAATAATATACCCCAAACCCTATTCTAACTATTAATAGCCCCTAAACCCTAAACCCTTAAACCCTTATAATAGCCCTTATAGAACCCTTTAAGGAACCCTTTAAAGGAAATTATGAAGGCCCCTGTATTAGCTCTGAACTCTGAACCCGTAGATGTGCCCGTTAAAGGCCCTCAACTCAAATAGTCTGAGACCCCAAACTTTGACCTGAAGGGGGTTTAGGGGTTTAGGGTTTAGGGTTTAGGGGTTTAGGGTTTGGGGCTTTAGGGGTTTCAGCACTCATTCTCGGACATGCCTAGGCGAGCTTCCTGGTACACGACGACTGCACTTTGGCACAAGAGATAGCACGTATCACCATCTCCAGAAGCACTAACGATCCCTGCTTTAGGGGTTTAGGGTTTAGGGTTCATGTGGGTCCACCCTGTTAAGCCGTAAAGGCCCCCCCAAAATCCGAAGCCCTGAACAGCAAGCCCAAACCTCGATCTGTCAAAGGACCCTCATGTAGGCTCCTGTATAATTAGAAGAGGGTTTTGGGGTCCATTATACTATAGTTACAATAAGGAACGGCTTGTATTTTTAGAATAGCGTTCTGGGGTCCATTATACTATAGTTAGAATAAGGAACCCCCAAACTAGTATAGGTAACTTTTTTTGGCCCCTGTATCACAGCAACCCCAGCGTTTCTTACAGACAGACGCCCCCCCCAGGCGCGCCGCGCGCCTCTCGCGAGAGGCGGGGTCCAAATCCACGGGCGAGGTGCGCCAGAGGTTGGGTCGGCGAAGCCTGATGCATGCAGGTGCAGGGGTTTTGGGCCGATGTATAGTACATGTTCCACAGGGGTTCTGTCAGGGTTCTCTAGGGTATGCGGCTGTAGAGTTTTACTTGTACGATATGATCGATGTGGGATTAAGCTTGTCAGGATTTTTTGGATTGGGGGTTTCGGCGTTTTCGGGTCTAAGGTTCTGTTTGGCTAGCTGACTGAGCCGCACTGTCAGGAACACTGCGATGCGAACAAAGGAAGCGGAGCAAGGCCCCCAACCTACAGAGCAGTGGGGTTTGGGCCTAGACATAGGCCGCAACCCTACTCGTAGGAACCTCCGTCTGAATTCGATCTGAAGGTGCAACGAAGAGGCGCCGTCGCTAGAGGGATAGCACGGAGAAGATGCTTCGACTCATCGTCCACCTGAGGAGTGCTCTCAGGGTTTAGGGCTCCGACCAGGGTCCACCTGAGGCTGCGAAATGGTGTAGTTCACGGATTCATGGATGTCGTTTCCGAGGTTGCTGGACCCGAAGACCAGCTGCGAGACGCTGAAACTGGGCTCTGCATGGAGGCCGAAGTAAGTTCGCCAGCCCGGCCTGCAGAGATGCCATTCTGCCGGCATCTTCCGCGATCAAGTCCAGCTGCCCATCCTGCGTTAGAGCTTCAGTTTCTGCAGAGGTTCTTGTTCTAAGCAGCTTCATGGGTCCTGGAGGGTTTGCTGAGGGTTCTAAGACGGTTTTATGGTCCCCAGAAACGCAACAGGTGGGGCCGCTAAAGTGCTCCTTAGTCCGTAGTGTTGTCTGTCTACCTGGAGGGCTGCTGGTTAGATCCTCACTTCCGTGGGCTTCGGGGTTTAAGGTTTGGACTCTCGGTTTAAGCGCACCCACCATATTAGTGATGATTGTCTTCTCTCAGCGAAAGCTAGGGATGTCGTCGAGACATGTCGGCTCCACTCCGATTCTTACTTAAATATTGAAGTTCGCATGTTCAACCCTACTTTCCGCTTACTATACTGCTACAAATAAGCTTACCACAATTTTGTTGTGCTTCGATTGATAGGGCTGTGGTTGCTCTTGTTGTTGGCAGTGCTGATGATGCGAACATGGTGTGGTGACGGTGTGTGGTCATCGCCGTGGTTGTTCTTGTTGGAACCCTTTTTCTGAGCACGGGCTGCAGCGCACATTGCCTTGATCCTTCAGTTGCCGCCATGTTTGCAACGACTGATCTGGGACTACTCGAGGTTGGACTCCCAAACTCCATGAGAGGTCAGGAAAAACGTGCTATCAGTCAGTTGAACTGTCAAGACGCCGGGACCGCTCTTCACGTCTGTTCTGCTTTAATGACGTATACCCTAAATTCTCCTAGGCCCTAAACTGTTTGACCTCGAGGCCTCCACAGGCTCGGAGACTGGCTGCCTCTGGCCGTCCGGATCGTCGCATGTGGGCGTCGCCTCCACGATTTCCTGGGTTCTTGTTACGGGATTTGTTTTAAGCTACCCTTCTAGGGATCTATAGTACATAACATGGTTTCCTTATGTTTCCTTATTATGGTAACGGTAACTCAATTTGTTTTATCTAAGTTACCCTTATAGGGATCTATAGTAAATAACAGTGGTTTCCTTAAACTATGGTAACTTAAATTACATCCCCCCAGCTTCCTTCGGGGCCTTTCCTGCAGGCCCTGCGCAGCTGCAGGCCTCTTCGTGGCAGTAGCTGGCGCCATGCCCCATGAAGGCGGCGACAGAAAACGTAAGTCAGCAATGAGCCACACTCCCTTTAGGGTTTAGGGTTTAGGGTTTAGGGTTTAGGGTGGAACGGAAAGATCAGCTGTGCTACGTGGGTTCAGGAAGAATTTCACCGTTGGCTCGATGCTGATGGATTCGTCGTGCGGCAGCCGCTTCTTGAGTCCCAGGAACACGGCACGTGCACCATGCTTTGCTCATGAGAGGACCCGGTCAGGTTCGCTCCCAACAAGTGTAGATAAGACAATGATAAGAGTGTAAGTGCCAACTAGTAGCCAGCTCCAAAAGATAACCACAGAGCAGTTCCCGCACCCTCTTTTCCGCGGCCTTCTCGTTGTTGTGCAACTCTGGGGATTGGGTGACGGTGAAGGTTTGGTGGGGAGGAGGCATGGGTACAAGTGGAACCCTAAACTCTAACAGAACTCTAAACCCGTAGCGGGATTCGTGTGGGCTTCCGCTGGGTGTTCTTCACGGTTCTGGCGGTGTCGAACGAGCGCCCGGAAAGGTGCGTGTATCGATATACGTCCGTAAGGCTTGTGACCTAGGGCCATCTTGAAGATGACAAAGCTCGGATCAAGACTGCTTGAGAGGGAGCATTACACACACGCAAACACCGCTGCAACCATGCATGCTCAGAACAGGAAGGGCAGGACGGGGTCCTAGAAGCTTGCATATGGGGGTTTCGGAAAATAGGGGACCCTAATATAGTACCCCGAATAATAGGATCCTTATTATAAGGACCCTAAAAAAAGGTACCCCTAATTTCCGGACACTTCCATATAGTGCCTGCGAGCTGGAGCCAGGGATTCCAACACTCGGTTTAGGGTTTAGGGTTTAGGGTTTAGGGTTTAGGTAAACAATGCACCTTCAATGTTAACGCGCACAGGGGTGCTTAATGTCATTCACACTATGTTCCTGCAGCAAGGGGTTTTGGAGTCTCTGCTCAAGGGGAATAGGGTCCTAGGCCCTAGGCGTCGGAAACAGGCAGGTGGCTAACGGTACCGAGACTGGGCTTTAAAGCCGAAGGGCTTAGCCGAAATCCTTGTTTTGTTGAACCCAGCCAGACCCTAAGCCCTCTAGGCTTGCAGTTGACATCATGTCGATGTCTTCACCGTAAGAAATCAAAAGGGTGGTTCTCTAAATTAGGGTCCCTGTTTAGGCCGTAGAATAGTACGGCACCCGCGTAAAAAAGGACCCTAAAAGGGAGCCTAATTTAGAGAACTACCCACATGTCTAGTCCTGGGTGGTTTTTAAGTGCCGTTTCGTTGCTTGGGTTCTTTTGATTGGTTCATACATAAGCTATATTTACCCACAGTAACACATAGTAGAATACGCTATACAAGAGCAATGACCACGATGTGACATTAAATCATTGAGCCGATTAGAAAGTAGCCTCTTTTCGCCGATAACAAGTCCATCGTGACCAGCCGCGGTTAACAGCAATTGCACAGCTGCAACTGACGGCGAAGATGACGCACAACGAAGGTAGATACAAGCACCGCAAACAGGGAAAAGACTACGCCTTGAGCGAAGCCTCTGCGGAGAACTCCACGGCCAGCAATAAAACCAAAGCCAATCACAAGAGCTGGCAGGAAGAAGATGGCGACGGTTCGCCCAATGTTCCAGGCAACTTGCTTGCAAGGTGCGGCCCAGCGGTAGCTCATGAAAATGCACAGCTCCAGCGCCATGGTGTACCACACGCAGAGTCCGACGGTGTGAGCCAGTAGATGGGCAAGGATGTTCCTCCAAGGAGCACCTCCCATGTACAACGCTAGCACCTCATCCAAACTCTCGCCCACAAACCTCGAGCCACTGTCGCGTTTAGACGCGAGGGGAAACTGTCACTTTCATGAAGGCTTTGTCCTAAAAGTCGTCAGAGCCCATATCAGAACCTGCAAACCATGTAAAAATCCTCCCAAAGCAGCCAAGAAGCGGCATCATGATAAGAGCATAGTAGTAGATTGGAACCATAAAGTTTGAAGAAGACTTTAGCAACTCCTCCTTCAGGGGCCCTCGCACGTGCTCGGTGAATGCATCAGCACTACCATACCAGTCGTTGATCGCCCTGTGCCTGGTTTCTTGTCAAGGCTTTAGGGTTTAGGGTTTAGGGGTCAAGGGAACCAAGGACGTCCGGTGACAAACCGATTTCACAGGGCTTTGACGAACACTTATCTGCTGTACGGAAGACCTCTATTGCCTGAATAAAGACCCAGGTGCACGAAGAGACGGTCGTGCTCTAATCGACAATGAGCATGCTGCAGGTCGAAAGTGGAGAGGCCTTCCAGGAGCACATGCTTGCTGTTGAGGGTGTGGCGTAGAAGGTGTATCGCCACGCACACGGGCGTAAGAACCACTGTGATAGCCAGAACGACAAAGAAGCCTCCCTCGTCCAAGATGAAACCTGCAGACATCCAAATCCACGCTGCGCAAATCATCAGGCACGCCCACATGCAGAATACCACGGTCTCAACAAAAATGGGTGCCATGACAATCCTGCCCCGGGGGTTCGCACGTCGGTATGCTGCGATCTCGAAGACACACCTTGGACTACCCACTATGACTAGCATAAGGGTCTTGGGATCTTGATGAAAAGCTAGAACAGGATTTTGTAGAACAGGATGTTGGTGTGTGAGCGGACAGAAGTCGGAGGCGAGTACAGCTACAGATGCCTTGTGCATCACATAAATGTCTAGCTTCGCTTTGAGCTAGTCATCTAAACATCGAGTCATAGCTTAACGACTAGCTTCTAACGACTGTACAGTGCAGTCACGCGGCTGCGGGCATCTACACATTCGGTTTCGCGTCGCAGTCAAAAAATTGAGTAACGTACAACACGCGAGGTCTTCTTCAGTAGCCCATACAGGCTCAAGAAGGTGTGTGCGGAAATTGTTTTCAAGACGCTGATTTTGTTTGAATCTTTCAAGTGAATCTGTAAACTTGGCAATGCGATTTTGGGATATACTA